AAAATGGGACCAATTACTATGAGAGAACATGAGAAGAGGGGGAAGGCAGGGGGGAGGGGGAGGTCGCACACACCCCTCTCTCTCTCCCTCCCTTCCCCCTTCTTACCTCCCCCCCCCTCTATCTATCCATTAAGGAGAATGCATCTAACTCTCACACTAAGGGCTGGGGAGGGGAGGGGGGGAGGGAGGGAGAGGGGAGGAGAGGAGAGAGGAAGAGGGGAGGGGAGGGAGGAGGAGAGGAAGAGGGGAGGGAGGCAGGAGAGAGGGAGAGGGGAGGGAGGGAGGAGATAGGAAGAGGGGAGGGAGCAAGGAGAGAGGAAAAGGGAGGGGAGGGAGGAGAGGCAGGAGAGAGGAGATGAAGGGAGGGGGAGGGAAGAGGGAGGAGGGGAGAGAGGAAGAGGGAGGGAGGGAGGAGAGAGGAAGAGGGGAGGGAGGCAGTAAGAGAGTAGGGAGGAGAGAGGAAGAGAGGCCAGGAGAGAGAAAGAGGGAGGAGGCAGTGAGAGTGAGGGGAAGGGAGGCGAGAGAGGAAGAGGGGAGGGAGGAAGGGGGGTAAGGGGGTGGGGTGTTTAATGTAATGCAGGAGCTATAAAAGTTGCTCATGGGGAATATATTCCGCCTTTTTCCTTTTTCTCTTCCTTTTGGGTGGATATTTTGGCGCTGTTTAAGGGGAATGTGACGGAGGGAAAAGGTGGGAAAAGCTGGAGAGTAGATAGAGAGGGGAGAGGGAGAGGGAAAGGGAGAGGGAGAGAAGAGAATGAGAATGAGAAAGAGAAAGAGAGAAAGAGAGAGAGAGAGAGAGAGAGGAAGAGAAAGAGAAAGAGAAAGAGAAAGAGAGATAGAAGAATTGAGAGAGAGAGATGGAGATAGATAGATTAGAGAGAGAGAGAGGAGAGAGAGGAGAGAGAGAGAGAGAGAGAGAGAGAGAGAGAGAGAGTGAGAGAGAGAGGAGAGAAGGAGAGGTGATGATATTAAATAAAGAGAGAAGATTAGATGAGATATGAGATTAATGAAGAGAAGAAAGACTGAAAAAAGAGATAAACAAAGAAAGATAGAAATAGAAGAAAAACAGAAAGAAAAAGAGTGAAAAGAGAAAAAAGAACAGAAAGAAAATGAATAGAAAAGAGAAGAAAGAACAGATATAAAAGATAGAAAGAACAGAGAGAAAGGTTAGAAAGAAAAGGAAGAAGAGATAGGAAATAGAAGAGATAGAAAGAAACCAATGAAAAGGAAGAAAGAGAAAGAAAAAGGAATAAGAAATAGAAAGAAAATGAAAAAAAATATAGAAAGAAAAAGAAAGAAGAGGTTATAAAAGAAAAGAAAGAAAAAAAGAAGAGGTAAGGAAAAAGAAAAAAAAGAAAAAAGAAGAAAGAAAGAAAAAGGAGAAGAAGAAAGAAAAAAAGGAAAGAAAAGCAAGAGACAGAAAAAAATGAAAGAAAAGAAAAAAGAGAACAAACAAAAGAAGAGGGGTAAGACAAAGAAAAGAAAGATAAAGAAAAGAAAAAAAAAGACAAACAAGAGCCAGAGAGAAGAGAAAGAGAGAAAGAAGGACCTCGAGGAGTCCAAGACGCCAGCGATCCCCAAATGAGACAATCTTAAGACACCGTCGGAGAGGCTCTGAGGGAACGGGACTCGCTAAATGCCTTTGACACGCCACACAGCAACTCGGCGTTTGCAATACTCTTTAAAAAAAAAATGCCTCTAAAGTATTTGAAAAATGCCTTAGAGTATTTGAAAAATGCCTCTAAAAGTATTTTGAAATTAATGCCTTTAAAAAATTTTGAAAAATGTCTTTAAGTATTTTAAAAAATGCCTCTAAAGTATTTTTTAAAAATGTCTCTAGTATTTAAAAAAAAATGCCTGTAAAGTATTTTTAAAAAATGTTTCCAGAGTATTTTAAAAATGCCTCTAAAGTATTTAAAAAGTGCCTCTAAGGTATTAAAAAACGCCTCAGAGTATGCATGCCTCTAAAGTATTTTTAAAAAAAATGCCTCTAAAGTATTAAAATAATGCCTCTAAAGTATTTAAAAATGCCTCTAAAGTATTAAAAAATGCCTCTAAAGTATTTTAAAATAATGCCTCTAAAGTATTTTAAAAAATGCCTCTAAAGTATTTTAAAAAATCCTCTTAAAGTATTTTAAAAAAATGCCTCTAAAGTATTCAAAAAATGCTTCTAAAGTATGTTCTAAGGCTCAGTTTAAAGTAGAGACTATACGTGGAATGCAATGATTTTGAGTGGGAGGGAGGAGGATCAAAGAGGGTCTGGGTGCAGATGGAAACACACGCTCACCGCGGTAATTCGGAGAGTGATATGGAGAAGGGAGAGGGAGAGGGAGAGGGAGAGAGAGAGAGGGGAAGAGAGGAGAGAGAGGGAGGGAGGGAGGGAGGGAGGGAGGAGGGAGGAGAGAGAGAGGAGAGGGAGAGAGAGAGAGAGAGAGAGAGAGGGGGAAGAGAGGAGAGAGAGAGGATGAGAGAGAGAGAGAGGGGGGAGAGAGAGAGAGAG